TACATCACTCAAACTTAGCTTAGGAGACATCACTTGCGTAATTTATTTTTAAGTACAATTTTGCTCGGACTATCTAAAATTGAATTTGTACTGCTTATTGATTCAGACAACGGTTCTGATACTTCCTGTTCACCACATTTTGTTGGCTGAAAAAAGATACTAGTTATTTGGGAAGCCTGCAAAAATTCTAGAGTTACAGTATTAAAAAACCGTCATATACTAGAATAACTCGCGCGCAGAGGTTTCCGTCTCTCTTAAGTCCCGTAAATATACTGAACATTATACAAAACATTCGTTCTTCGTCTAATCAAAAAATAAAACAAAAATCCCAGCAATGTTATATAATTATATCATTACATTGTCACATGGTACTGCTTATTTCTTGAAGTCCACTCTTCCTGTTTTTGCGGTGTATTTGTCATTTTTTTGAACTGCACGGAAAATGTGCTTGAATAATCTGAAGTTTCTTCGCTGCAATTCTTCTGAACAAATTTGATCCATGATTATTTTGTTTCATGACACAGCCGAGGAAAACATTAAATAAAAATAATAATAAAAAATATTAATTTTAATGCATTAACATTTCCTACAGTGATTATATATAAATATTTTACTGTTCATAATTACTTAACATTATACGTCGATAGTGTCAAGTCTGCGCATAAAAATGTTTTACTCTTTGACATTCACTTATACGTTGCAGTTGATAAAATATAATTAAATTAAGCGTGTTTTAAAGATAATAATAAGTTTAAATTACTGGTGAAAATTCACTCCTTGACTTTTCCTTATATTTCTCGAGCAGTTTGAACAGTATCTCAATGCACACGAAGGCATATTAATTTAAAAATAATTATTCGCTCTAACTTCTCACGTTGCAACAACCGTTTGACACAGACTATGTGAGTTTGAGAGCGCGCACTCTAACTCGTGTTACAAACAATCGAGTTGAGGCGTCTTCTCTAGTACGTAGTACATTATATCTCAATGTGAATAACGTCATCGAGGTGAAGATCATCAAGTGAAAATACCAAGGAGAGAATGTCTAGATCCCGCATATCGTATACCGATGATTCCACCCGATTTGTCATTTGATTTTAAGCGTCTACAATTTCCCGTGCGTCTGGCTTTTGCGACGACCATAAATAAATCGCAAAGCCAGTCGTTGAGTTTCCCTGTTTCGCGCATTGGCACACAATTATACGTCGCGTGTTCGCGACTCGGAAAACCATCATCTTTATATATTTACGCACCGCAAAAATAAGACAAAAAATATAGTACATCAGAAAGCTTTAAATTGATTAAGTTTATAACTGTGTTGCATTTAATGTAAATAAAAATTTTGTATTAAGTTTTGACCATACTTTTCACAAATATATGTAGGTTCACCGGGTCGTCTATTTTTTTATTAAATAATTTAGTGCACGAAAGTTATTCAGTTTTGAGCACATAACTAATTTTCTTTAATCATTTTACCGCTTCCTTGACAATCATTTTTCGATAGTCTTTTTAAGTTAAATGTAAATGTACATCACTAGCGGATGCACAGAAAAACAAATTAATCATTTGTCACGCGTTTTCGTGCTGTCAGGTTGTCTATACGCCAGTATATTCTAAAGTCTATGGCTCTATGGTCTTTGCTTGCTAATACCGCTTGCTACATTTTATTTATCTATAGGTCTTCTTTGGTACTTAATAAGCATGGGCGTTTTTAGTTGCAACAGTTGCATAACCGATATTTAGTTTTCATATCGTTATTGAAAACTGTTTTCAAATATAGATATCAGTAATAATGGCTTACTACTGAATGCGCCAACGACAACCGAAACACAACCGAAAACTGTAGAACCAGTGCAACATTTAATTTACGAATTACTTCGATTATTTTAGTTTAGAAGTCAGAGGCCCTAATATAATCTTAGATGTAATATTTAGACATGTATGTTAATATATAACTTATTTAAATTCATTGTTATGCAGTAATATAGTATTATAAATGTCTAAAATTACATTCTTTCTATCCTTATTTATTTCTACAGTTTATATAAGTTTTAAAAGTGAGACGTAGGATCAGATTTTGATTTAAAAGTCTATAATTAAAGTGTATTCATAAGTACTAAACATAATTTATATATATTAGGTATATAGAAAATTATTTTAGGTAGTTTATTTATTAATGATTATTTAAGTTGGCGATTTTCCTTCATACTTAACTAGGTTTAAGACAAGCAGAAAAGTTTTAAAACTAATGTACAAAATGCACACAAATATTTCAAATAAAAGCACAAACTGCAACGTCAAAAATGTATAATTTCACAGATAATTTCACTGAACGGCACACGAAACCAAGATCAAGAGCGTAATTGTTGCGTTTTGAAAAAAAAATCAAATTCTAAACTCCAAAACATAAACAAAAAGTTGCCTAAACCAAATATGTATAAGTCTTATACCTAGTCAGGTCATAAGTATTGTTACACAGTAAAAACTTTTCTTTTAGAATGCTGGCCGCAAAAAGTTTATTAAATTCGAATTTCGAATTGATCATGAAAATAAAACTGTATACTTTTTAGAATTTTACTCATTTTTAAATATGGAGTGGACGCTTAAAGAAGACCGTGTTGCAGTTATTGCGTTGCATCGTTGCGGTTACGCGCCAATTCAAATTTTTGGACATACTGAAAAATTTGAATATAACCAAAAGATTCGTTTATCGTACCATCAAACGATACAATGAAGTCTCTAGTGTAGATGACAGGTCAAAAAGTGGTCGCCCTCGGTCTGTTAGGACTCCAGCAGTGATAAAAGCTGTGAAGGCGCGAATTCAAAGAAATCCCAAACGTAAGCAGAAACTGTTGGCCCTTCAGATGGGTTTAAGCAGAACCACGGTGAAGAGGGTGTTAAATGAAGACTTAGGGCTTCGGGCATATCGAAGAAAAACAGGACATCGTTTGGATGCTCGTCTAATGGACCTGAGACTGAAGAGATGCCGCGCTTTGTTGAAGCGGTACGCGGGAAAAAATATCAGGAAATTCTATTTTCGGATGAAAAAATTTTTACCGTAGGAGAGAGCTACAACAAACAAAATGATGAGGTGTACGCACACAGTAGTGAAGAAGCGAGCAACCGTATTCCGAGTGTCCAACGAGGTCATTTTCCATTCTCGCTCATGGTATGGTTGGGAGTTTCTTATTGGGACTTAACAGAGGTACATTTTTGTGAGAAAGGTGTAAAAACGAATGCAGTTGTGTATCAAAATACAGTCCTGACGAACCTTGTGGAACCTGTTTCTTATACCTAACATATATATTCATATCATATATTCTAACAAGATTCGGCGCCAGCTCATAGAGCGAAGAGCACATAAGACTGGCTGGCGGCGCGTGAAACGAAGACTGGCCCTCCTCCAGTCCAGATTTGAATTCGTTAGATTACAAGATATGGCAACACTTGGAGGAAAAGGCGTGCTCAAAGCCTCGTCCCAATTTGGAGTCACTCAAGACATCCTTGATTAAGGCAGCCGCCGATATTGACATGGACCTCGTTCGTGCTGCGATAGACGACTGGCCGCGCAGATTGAAGGCCTGTATTCAAAATCACGGAGGTCATTTTGAATAAACTTTAGTGTCATAAGAATCTATGTTTTGTTAAGTTCGTTTTGGTATATAAATGGTTACATAATGAATAAACTTGTTTCAATTATTTTATATTAAACATGTGACAGAATTTTCGACCTGACTATGTATATATGACCTTAAGATAATTTAAATTTGACAATCGACCTTACTAACTTACTATTAACGATCTTATAATTATATTTCACTATGTGCGCCGTTGTGTAATAAATACCAAAACATCGTAACGAAATCCATATTCGCTTCATTTTTTTCTATATCTATTTATGATATCTTCGCAAGAAAGAGAAACAACGAATATCAACGAAGGACATCGGTTAGTTTGTGGGCCGTGTTGGCATATGGTTCCAGTTTGCGTTTTACGTTTCGTACGTTGGTTAGTTGGGTTTAGTCTTCCTTATATATTACTATACTCTTTGGGGTTTGGTTGGATATGTGATAACGGTTATGTACTTTGTTTATCGATATGATATATTTGATAACATAACGTTATTAGTTACGTTTTGATATATCGGTCTCATGCCTAGTACTTAATACTTATGTGGAAATCGCAGAATCATAGATAAATATATATGTAGCGCAGAATGGTGGAGAGAATACACGAGTAAAACAGTTATGTACAGCGTTAATATCGGTATCGGAATCTAGAAGTTTAGGGATAGTTTCTTTAAAGACTGATGAGATATTAATTAACTTGTAATTCTTCTTTCGTTCTTTTTTTTTGTTTTATGATGATCGAAGGTCGAGCAAATGTAAGTAATAATTTCACAAATTCTTATTCTTAACGTGTTTGTATTATGTTTTGTTATATTTACGCAAACACTACACATTGAATAAAACGATTTTTACGGATTTTATCGCGTTTAATTAACTTATTTTATATTCCCGACGTTTCGGTTGCTTTCCAGCAACCCCCCGTGACCACGGTTGCTGAAAAGCAACCGAAACGTCGGGAATATAAAATAAGTTAATTAAACGCGATAAAATCCGTAAAAATAGTTTAATTCAATGTGTTTGTATTACTTATTGTGGTATATTATCTATATTTCAGGAACTACCTGATTTTCAAGTCTTTCAGACGGTAATCAAGTACTGTCTTTTTATAATTATCGTACCAGTACTTTCCTTCTTCTTTGTGAAAAGTCTTGTATTCGATGGAGTTTTACGACTGGAACCCGTTACTAGCAGTGTATACTCTGCTATAGTGGCTGTTGTTGTTTTACATGTTACTTTAGGCATGTATATCTTCAGAGCGTATAACGAAGCTGAGAAAGCACCTAAGCCAGTGAAAAAAGATTAAAATATTTTTAAGTTCAGAATTTGTAATATTTGTATGTAATATATATAGGTAGAAAATATTTCATCAAAATGGATAACCTATACATGAAGGGAGAGCTCCTACAAATTCATACAAAAAATGAAGAGGTGATTGAAGGCAGGTTTTACAGTGTGAATAATGACAAATCTAAAATATCTTTGTACAATGTTAAGGAGTTGCCTCAAGGTGTAGAAGATAAAGGTGTTTGTCACTATTACGATTCTGAAGTCAGAGATATTATTAAACTTCAGGAACAAAATGAACAAACTTATCTAAAATTAACACAAAAAGAATGTGAAGAGATAATTAAAACATCGAAAAAATACATTTTTATAAATCAAGTTGACAAACATTTTCATGAAGCAATTGAAGATTTGGTTCAGTATAGCTATATTGCTCTTAGCACAGATGGTGCTAATATGGGTAGAAAGTGTAAAATGCCTTTTGTTGTGTTGTCAACTCCGCAGCAAATCTACATATTTGATATTCAAGTGATGCAGTATCATGCATTTGATGCAGGATTAAAGAAGATTCTAGAGTGTGAAACTCCCAAAAAGATAGTACATGACTGCAGGAAAATATCAGATTGCTTGTATCACAAGCATAATGTTAAACTTAATTCTGTTTTTGATACCCAAGTATGTAGTTTTTTTGAGAATATGATTTAAACATTATATTGTTTTCATATAAATTAACAAAATGTTCCGTTGTAGGTTGGAGACCTTATTATTGCAAGAAACAAATCTAGTCGTTTACCAACTGCAGTGAAGACATTAGCAGAATGCTTAAATACTTACCTTGGATTGAAACATAATGCTATAGAAGAAAAAGTATTACATTTATAAAAATATATTAATAATTTGTGGTCCCTTTGTAATATTTCTTAATAAATGGTATTCCTTTTTCAGCTCGACATAGTTCAGTGCACTGTACGACCATTATCCACAAATATTAAAGAAAATCTTGCTAAAAACATAGCTTATCTTCACCGTTTATCTGAAATGATAAATGACGAAATGATGTTACCATTCAATAGAGGAATAGAATGTTACATTGAAAATATAAGATCATGTGATGATTTCAAGGCATGGGAATTATGTGGAAAATCTGGTCATACACCAAAGGACTTTAAGAGTGCAATTGAGTATTAAATTTATGCTTTTAAGATACATTCCACCGTATAATAAACCGTAAAAACTGCCTTTTTTGTTTTATATTTGGTTTTTATCAACTATAATTTCTTTTTTCTCATTTTCATTCATTTTTATTTTATTAATGGTTATCATCACAGATAGATTCTTGTTTTTATTAATAACCTAATTTGCCAGCAATAAACACATTTTTAATGATATTTAATCAAGTAACATCATATCAAATCATCACCAATCTTACATAACATGACTGGTTGATTTATTGAAAGAAAATATTAGTGCAATTACACAACAGTGGTAAACAGATATTATGTAAGTTAAAATATTACAGAATAAATACATCCCACAGTACAGCACTAATTGTGAGCTATACAATGGGCAAAATCATTGTAGTACGGTAGAATACTACGCCACAAATGCTACGCACAGTGTCTTAGCTCTTAGAAAGGCCAGATAAGATTGTAATTATAAAAATGTGACCCATTTATACCATTGAATATAATGTAATGTACTTTATATTCAATGGATTTACATTTTGATATTTCCTAGGAATAAGTTATCAAATGTGGTGTTGCGTTTATTTATAGATCATCCTTAATAGCACGCATAGCAAATGTCCTAAACTTTGATTGATACTTGGTAATTAAACTAAAAACACGAATTGACTACTTCGTAATTATTATTAAGAAGCTTTGGCGGTCTTTATAAAAAGCTTAGTATTATAATCAATGGAAATTTTAAACACAGCTTTGGTGCCTATGATTGTGAAAATGCAATTAATGTCTAAATAGCTTTTACATAAATATTATTTTATCATATAAGTATTGTTAAATTTTATTATATTTATTTTTGGGTAGGAGTCAAAACAACGTGGCTATAAAAATATGGACTTCTGTCACAAATTAGTTGAGCTATTAAAACGTATTTAAGTAATGCAGTGTTGCATAAATTAGTATTTATTTACTATAGAAAATAATTAAAAAAAATAAGAACGAGATATTTTGAGAAATGGTTTACATCATCGAGTAAATGTTATATGAAGGCTAAAATAAATGTAAGAGGCTTTCTAAACTGAATTGCTTACAATAATATGATTACAATGTTTGTAAACTTAGATTCGATAATAAAATATTTGTGCTTGATCTTTTGTCGTAAATATACTTACACCCGTTTGTCAAAATCAGACTGATTGATATTGCTCACCAGTATATTTAGATAACTATTTCCTACAGGTTTTCCATGAAGCAGTTTTACAAGTAGGTAGGTAAAATTTGAAGTGATCGTAAAAATATGATATGACATTCAGTATAAGCCTACCAAGGTATTTGTTATCGAACATTACTGAATGGAACATATTTTCTGCAAAGGATTTCCTTTGGTAAGGAACCATCCTCAGACCCATTTCTGCCTCTTAGCATTATTCATTTAAATTAGTTAAAGTTGGATCCTATATATACGACCTACTGCTGGGCATAGGGCTCCTCTAATTTCTGAGAAGATTTTAGGGCAAGAAAATGCCGCCGGGCTGACCTAATGCGTGTTGGCGAACTTCACATGCCTTCGAATTTTTTTTCTCATTTTTCAGACGCATTATTCATTTTAGTATTCAGGTTTAGATGTGGCAATAACCAGTAGTCTAGCTTTCTTTGAATGGAACATGAGTTACAGGTGTACCATGAGAGCAAATGCAGTCGCTCACCATAACGTTGTAAGATTAACTCAGATAAAAAATCTTTAAAAAATATTTTTGCCGGTAATCTAACCTGTGAAACCGTGTGGTGGCTGTGTAATGTATCCACTACTCCATATCATCCTATGAGTGTGGTAAGAGGGGACAGAGAGAAACTGAAATAGGAGTTGGGCAGCAGCACCTTCCTCAAAAATTCAAAATAATAAAAAAACAAATGTGGCAACTATGCTAAAATCCCTCCTATGATCCAATTTATGGGAGAGGCCTGTGTTCAGCAGTGTGAAAGTCAGAAAATACAAAAAAGAAGCCTATAACGTCCTATAGGCTTTTTTGGTATGTTTTAGTAATTCATACCGCATTGTGTAATAGGTAACTAATACATTCTAAATCTTTTTTTGCAAAGTAGTTTTCCGGGTAAAGTTTAAACATTTTTCATAATCTTATTGAATCTTGATTGTCAAAAAATCAAAATCTGGTATCTGAAGTAAATGTAGAGGTAAACAGACGAATGATTACGTGCTAGAGCCACGCTGCTGCACAATTGGATCGACTCGATCGGAAAGAGCACAGACCTGCAAAAAGAAGAATACAGACCTATGGAAAGGACCTTACTGAATTGATAGCAGCGTAATAATTTGTTATAGTGACGAGGCGGCGACCTTGAGAGAAAATTTGGTTAAGTGTAATTTAACAGACTGTCCCAGAAGGAGTGTAATGTCTTAATAATCTGCCGACTTCAAAAAAGGAGACGGTACTCAATTCAACTGTGTTTTATTTCTGTTACCTCATAACTTTTTACTGGGTGAACCGGTTTCGATTATTCTTTTTTTATTTGAAAGCTGGTACTTCTCGTGTGGTCCCATATGAATTTGATCGAGGTCAGACTAATAGTTTTTGAGTTATTTTTAATAACTAAATTGAAGTCGGCTGTACAAAATTTTTAATTATTTACTGTGTGGTAATGGTGTTTAAGTGTTTTATTGTATGTATGTTGGTCTGTTCGTTTGTAACCTCCATTTAAATCCATTAAGCTTTAACATCTTAATGGATTTAGATGTGCGAGGTATCGTTACATTCGTATTTATCTCAAGTGTTACAGGCTAATAAATAACATGGTGCTGGCTTGAGATGAGTTACAAAGAATGAGCCATTTTATTAGTCAATAATATTTCGCAGACACTTTTGTAAGTGGTATAGCCACGCTTTTTGGCTGCACCACAAATGGGTCGGCTCGACAGGAGAAGAAACACGCTCATGCCGAATAACCAGCGTATAATAGCAGCTTAATGTTAGATGTTTCGGATGAGTAGAATAGAGAACCCTCGTTACTGGTAATGATACGTTTCAGCGTAGTGCAGGGGTGACAACATATTCTGCATTTTTATTCATAATCGATGATGCATGGATGTAGGTGTCTATGGGCCACAGTGTCCATCCACTTACCATCCACATGGACTGTTGCTAGTTTGCCCTCTACTCATATAAAATAAAATTTGTTTGCAAGTTATATTGGTCATAAAACAGTCCAACAATGGCTTGCTACACATCTACGCATTACCTATCTTTAAATGAGATAATGTAAATAAACTTAGTTGTTTATAATATTTGTTTATTGAAAATATATTTAAACAAGTAAATCAATCGTCGACGGCCGAACCTAGAAAATTAATACGAATCTTCAGAAGAGTCTGAACCTGTTACATTTATCACAAAAGTATTTATTTATTGTATTATCAATCATATCGTCAACATTGCTTTAAAAGTTATCTTCTATTCTTATAACATAACAACTATTCGCCGCATCTCTACAAATAATAAGCTCAAAAACTTACCTTGTGCCGTTATTTTCGTGGCGAATAATTTCTTTTAAGAGTTTGGAGCAGCCAGGCTGTGGCTGCATAGTTGAAATCTTTAGAATTACGTTCAAAGAGCAATGAAAATAATAAAAGTCAATAACAAAACACTAACAATAACGAATTTGTAACATAAAACAAACAAAAAAGAAGCGACGAAGGCAATAAGTAAAGGTACCATTCCGTAGCCGACCGCAGACAGCAGCAGCAGACGACGTGTCGTCGCGACACTACTGGTTTTTATGTAGTTCTATGAAATACCTTCCGTAGCTAACGACACGTCGTTTGCCGGAGCGGCAGACGACATGTCGCCCGACCGCAGATCAGTAGTGTCGCCAAAAGCCGAGCGACACGTTGAATTTTTCTCAAAAAATGAGTTTCACCGATTCCGTGGAAGAGAAACTGATAAACCAGGTGGTCCAATATCCCGCACTGTACTATGCACTTCACAATAATTATTTAAACAGTGTGACAAAAGGAATTTTTTGAAAAATATAGGAAAGGAGTTAAATAAAAGCGGTAAATAGGTATATATACATATATAGTACCTATTTTGTTTACATAAATAGAGTACCCACAGAACATTCGAAACAGATTGGAACACGTGCTGCTGCCGCCTGCAGTCGGGTTCGGAATCATGACCGCAGCGACGTGTCGTCGCGACCTCAGGTCGCCTGCTGTTGCTGTCTGCGGTCGGCTACGGAATGGTACCTTAACACTTCGAGCACATTCCAAGCAGGTATGGATACGAATTCACAAGATGGCGCATGTTTTTTCAAATGTTAACACGTACCATTAACGATCACAGTACCAGACGTTTTGTACGGAATCTGAAACTACGAGATCTTTTCGACCTTTCTCATATTCGTCTTTTACAACACCTATGGGATAAAATGGTGTGGTGATGGTCTCTGCTACCGAACGGCTCCACTATGACCGTACAAACTTATTTTAGATATTCTACCGTAATATAACGGAATTGTTTAACGATTATACTCATAACATTTGATCAGCCTACCTGGTGAAGTCTTAGGTCGAAAAATTTATCCTTGCCTACAGACCGATATATCGAAATTGGAAGACTGATGTCAGTAAGGAGCAATAATTGGGTGCAAAGTGTTTTCTAACCTTCTTCAGAGTATCAATAATAAAAAGTAATAACCTTAAAAATTGAAAGAACAACATTAAAAATTGATAATATTTAATAAATAATTTATTTACACTTATGCAGCTTTAGTAAGAAATAGATTAGGATAAAATGCAAGTCCCTCTATTGATTCGTCTCTGCAGGCTAGGCCGCGGCGTTCTGTAGTGAAAAGCCTTTCTCGTGCTAGTAACACGGAAACATTAGCTAGTTGAGACAGCTTCACAGGAGTAAGAGATCCGTTTTCTTCAAGCTGCAAACAGTAAAAATGTCATGACCAAGATGGACTGTAGGCAAAGGCATTACACCATAC